CTGTTTTTGTCATTTTGTTCACAACTGACAGAATAAGTCAATGAGAAGAAACCGTTAAATTACAGGCTATTGCCTAATATTTGTTTTTTACACTTCACACTTGTGGATGCAATATCTAAAATCAAATGCAGTCGCACACATAAGGTTAACGTTTCACCTGCAAAAAGTCATTGTCAGCCATACTGTAGTATTCCTGTTTAGGTCTCCAACGTATCTGACATTATAATTTTGAGAAGTTATCACTGAATTAGAAATATTATAATTCACATACATGCTATAATAGATTACGAGCGTCCTTAGCGCTTTTCTAGATTTACTTTCAATTTTTAATCACAAATTGAGCGAGTCATATGGATATGACCTTAATTTACAAGATAAAAAAAAAACATAATATGACAATATGACAACAAAGTTATTGTTAACTATTTCCCCGATTTGGTTAACAATCCTATATCTGCTGCATCATTTCTTCATTACAGACTAACTGACAAGTCTTTCTAGGTGTTTGTCTCGTCAAAGTTGATGTCACATTCATTAAGTCTATATTTGTAAACCAAATTTCTTCTTCAATTAATTAAAGTAGAGAGATAAACATCGTCATTTTTTCAATGACATTTGTAGAGTTTTTACGGACATACTTCAAAATTTACATTTAAACCAATTACTTGGTACATCTATCATTGCTTTCTGTAATGGAATAAGTATTACATTCTGATTGAATTTTTCGAAAACATAGTTGTAGCATTGTGTTTTCCGTTTAATCTGAATTTCTGTACTGTATTTTTACATAAGATGTTCTTCAATTTAAGCGGCATTAGCCAAGTTCGTGTCCACCGAATAAGCACAAAAACCAGAATTATAAAACCTCCATAGAAAACAACAAAAAATGAATGGATTCGCCGATATCAAAAATATAAAGTATACAATTTAGACTTGTATATATATAAAATAGATTTCTTTCGATTTTTCAAGCATGTTTCTTATTATCAAAGAAAATAATACTTAAACATGTTATAAATTGTTTGTCTTTTAAAAATAACGTAATGCCTTTGATCGTCGTTTAAGAATTATGCGAAATTGTCTGTTATTTTTTTCTTCTTTTTTTTCCAGATAAACAAAGAATATACAAAATATATAAAAAATTAATAATAAGTATCTCAAAGTTAAAACAAAAATCAAGTCTAACCCCTTAGGAAACCCCGTTCGAACTAAATTCCAAACGAAAGACATTTTTTGACATTGTAGTTTTTTTATCTTACACATCGATGTCAACTTGCATCTTTACACAATGTACACACATTTAGTGTGTTTGTTTGAAAAAGCAATGGCGAGTTCAGCTGTGAATATTTGACTGGATTAATTATTCTCTTTAAGTCAGTGAATTGTTTGACTTAACTAAAACAAGGTAAGGAAATCGTATACTGTCTTTACACAACCTTAACCAAAACTCATTCATCGTTTATAATATTATAAAAAAAATTGTGATGAAGTAATCCTGCAAAACTGCCAAAGGTAAATGAAAAAGTCTTGTCCTAAATATGAACGTAAAACAATCTCTTTCAGACTAGCATTTTAATCACTCTTATTCAAAGCATGTTCATACTGACATGAAGTGTGACTTACTTATGACTTGTGATCTAAAACATAATATTGTTGACTTAGCACTCAGAATCTGCTCTGAAATACTTTTATATAAATATAAAAATGCATAATTGTTAAAAAAATCAAATAGAAGAAGAAAAATATTAGACCCAGTCTTTTTTGTTCTTATCTATTTTCAAGTTCATGATTAGAACCATTTATTTATTGGTTTAGTGTTTTTTTTAATAATTTGAGTCCATTCATTAGAATCTGCATGGAATCTAGTCCACGTCATAATTATTTGGACTACATGGAATCAGTGAGACAAAATGTATTTGTTATATTTAGTTCTAATATGACGTCCTTCTTTCGCTTTGGAAACAAAGCCATCAGGTTCTAATACACCTTATCGCTATTTAGTCCAATCCGGAAAAAACAGTCATTTAGACAACTTCCTGTTTGGGTCAACAGGCCGCAAACAAAGGTCATCAGTAACGAGCTGAGGGAGGGAAAAATTTAGAAAGCGATCAATAGGAAACTTTGATAGATTATGATCCACTTTTTCCAAACTAAAATTATAGTCAAAAAAATATTGTGTTTGAAGTATTTACGATGTTTTAAACAGGTCTCATTAAAAAGTATCATGCATGGTGCATTGTTTAAACAGGGTCCCAGATAGCGTCAACTGGATGAAAATGTTGTGTAATTTTAGAACTTATCCGGAATGGAATAAATAGCGATTAGGTGTATTACAACAAAACATGGGCTGCACGTGATTGACGTCACAATTGAAATTGCAACGTCAGTTGTATTTTGAACAACGGCGGAGGTCGAAATGGATAGTTTTGTCGGTGTTGCTCGCTAGGAAATTAAATAAAATCATTCTAAAAGTAAGTTTACGTTTATATATTAATTTTTTGATCGTTCAACTGTTGATTTTCTATAACGTTTTTGGTTCATCAAATCAAAATGGCTGCCTTTTGGATGTGTATTATAGGTCCGCTTCGAAGTACAAAAGTTCTAAATATTCCTATCAGAATCGAAATAATTCTATCATGCCATGCTTTATGCTCATTTTAACATGGGTAGGCATTATATTTGTCAATATTTTACACCTCGCTAACGCTCGGTATAAAGATATTTATAAATATAATGCCTAGCCATGTTAAAATGGACTACATGGAATCAGTGAGACAAAATGTATTTGTTATATTTAGTTTGTTCATACAAGAATTGCAAACTAATTTCCTTTTATTTCAAATAATGAAGGATTTACATTCAGAATACTTTCATTATGGTCTCGTGTAAGTTTAAATGAAAAAGGTAGGATCAGGTATCAGTAATGAAAAGGAGTTCCTGTATTTGATCATTTTAATCCTGTCTTGATCCATTATTCATGAATATTTTGGCTACCCCTTGTATGATTAAAGTAGAAATTTATTTCTGTGTTGAAATAATTTGGTTACAGCAGTATAAATACTTACCAAAATATAAATATTAAATTAACTCTTGGAATAATAATATTATGGCACATACTGACATAGGGCCTATTTGAGTATTTCACTGAGACTGAGTTCTGAAAAGTGATAAAATGTGTTTCCTAATTTTTTTGCACATGTCTTTAGTATCAAAATATATTCAATATAATTATTTTAATAATATCCTCATGTAAATAACAGCATCATTTTAACATGGGTAGGCATTATATTTGTCAATATCTTTATACCGAGCGTTAGCGAGGTGTAAAATGTTGACAAATATAATGCCTACCCATGTTAAATTTAGCATACAGCATGGCATGATAGAATTATTTCGATTCTAATAGGAAAATTTAGAACTTTTCTACTTCGAAGCGGACCTATAGTTTGCGTTCAAAAGGCATCCATTTTGATTTGAAGAAGCCAAAACGTTATAGAAAATCAACCGTTTCACGATAAGCAAATGAAAAGATACATGTAAACTTGCTTTTAGAATGATTTTATTTAATTTCCTAGCTAGCAACACCAAAACAAATGTCCATTTTGATTTCCGGCATTGTTCAAAACACAGCTGATGTTGCTATTTCAATTGTGACGTCAATCACGTGCAGCCCATGTTTTATTGGAATTAGAACATGGCTTTGTTTCCAAAACGAAAGAAGAACGTCATATTAGAATTAAGAAATAATTCTTTCATGCCATGCTCTATGGTGCTTAATATAATAATAGTTTGATCATGAGAGTGTCAAACAAAGGGACGTAACTCGTAAATTACTATCGGCCCCGCTTCGTCAGAATTATCGACACATCGAAGTGGCACATTTGCGTATTACAGCGTATTAAGTGGCACAAATTTGACATATCATAGTCAAAGTTATGTTACATAACATAATTTAAATTCAGCATAGCTTCCCGAGAAGTTAAGAAAGAAAATTACGATTTTAATTTCCAGTGACCGATTTTTTTGGTCAACACCTAGACTTTGAAGACACATTTTGAGAGAACAAATTAGTTTAATCCATAATTGAGTGGATCGATATATTTCTTATATACTCAAGAATGTTCACTTAAAAGCAAATTAGTTTTAATTCATGCAAAAAACTAAAAATTCCAAAAAACGGGCTTCACTTTTTTTGGTAAAAAAATGCCCATATATGGTAATCACATGACTTCCATTGTTGCTTTAATAAATGGGGTCAAACCGGGGTCAGCTTTCCGACTGTAAATTCTAATTCGAATTGCAATACGCGTCAAATTCGCTTTACTGTCCTAACGACGTTAACTTTTAATTCGTATTAACTAAAACGCATTTCTAATGCGAATTGGATAATGCGATTTAGCCAATTCGAATCAATTCGAATTAAAAAAGAAGAGTGTGTGAACGCGATTAGCGAATTCGATTCGCATTCGATTCGAATTCAATTCGAATTAATGCTGCTTTCACACGTAATTCGAATTCGATTCGCATTAACTAATTCGAATTAGTTTAATTCGCATTCGAAACGTTTTACGTCCAAATGTAAATTCTAATTCGAATTGAAATGCGCGTCAAATTCGCTTTACTGTCCAAACGGCGTTAACTTTTAATTCGTATCAACAAAAACGCATTTCTAATGCGATTTAGCCAATTCGAATCAATTCGAATTAAAAAAGAAGAGTGTGTGAACGCGATTAGCGAATTCGATTCGCATTCGATGCGAATTCAATTCGAATTAGATGTACGTGTGAACGAGGCATAAATGTACGTGTGAACGAGGCATAAATGTACGTGTGAACGAGGCATAAATGTACGTGTGAACGAGGCATAAATGTACGTGTGACCGAGGCATAAGTGTTAGTTGTTCTTAGTTGTTAAGCTTTTTATCTGGAAACAAAAAAAAAATTATCATCCAGGAATTATATGAATAGATGCTTCAATAACATTAGAAACGAAACTAATAATGTCGATCAACATGAAAAACGTTCCTCGTTTTATCATGTAATGATTTTATTTGTTCAAAGAGGAATAATTGTTTACCGAAAGATGATTACATTGTCTATGTTTTATTCATAAGCTGTACTAATTTCAAGACGATGAATTAGGTTTGGAACAATTAGTTAGGTTTCCGAAGGCATGAAATGAGACCTATAACATCGGTAAAAACTAACTTATTTTTAAATGAAGATTTCATGCATCCTCTTCCACTGGATATTTTCTACGAATTGTGATACAGATAGATCATCATAAGAGCAATAACTCAAACAAAACTAGTGTATCATCTCCGCTGGTTCTGTTAGCGCTGTCTGACCCTGATATTGCACATATGCATGCAAGCTAAAGAATTTCTCATTTATATCTTGTTCCACTGCGGTCTCTTCCACAATCTTTGCGTGCAACGTATCCTTTTCATCTGATAGAAATTTATTTTCTTGTGTTAAGGCAGGAATTTTTAGTTGAATGTCACACATTTTCTTTGAAACTTCTTTTGTTGAATTTTTCACTTTTGAAACTGAAACGATAGTTTAAAAAATACAAACAATACATTATATTTACTTTATATATTTCAAAGTCGTAAAAAAACTCATTGCTAAGCTATATCAAGGAAAAGGAAAAGCAAGACTTCGTGTGGCCACTTGTCACATCAAAATAGTCTCAGTAAAACTACATATCATTGTAGTTCACATAAACCAAAAATGCCGATGACATTGAATTTTGGCGCCCCAACAACATCTTCACGATATTTAGTAAATCTCCACGTTCATACATTATTCGTGAAATGAAATTATATTCAATGGTAAAAAATCAAATTCAAAAATATAAATTAGCATTCAAAAAAAGTATATACTATAAAGGTCAGTTAATTCAAATTATAAATTAAAAAAAAAAACACTCGAAATTGTGAACAGGGAGGGTATTGTCAAGATCGAGTTATTGCTCAACAAACTGGACGTTAAGTTTTAATGCTTATAAATATTCTTAGTATTAAAAAGAAAAAAAGATTTTCCTTGTATATCGATGTGAAAAAGACAAAGCAGTTGCGATGTACCCATTAAGTCAGCTACTGCACAATGAGCATACAAGTCAAAATGAATGTATACACTATGCAATTTTCATCTCACTTCATTGATATTTCTTAAATAAACACATTACATCATTATTCATGAACTACACCCACCAACGAGTTCGTTCGTGGTTTCTTTGCCATACACCGGCGTTGTATATAGTATATATGAGCAAAGAGACTTATTGGCGCGGTATTATGATACATGTCGTAGTAGATGACGTCCTACTATTTGTTGCCTTGTAAGTTAGTAGGAAAAAATCCTGCTCAGTTGGTTAGTCTTGTAATTAGATTGATTCATAGTTATAACTCGTCCTGATTAAGGTTGAAAGTTTACCCGCTGGACGTTGAACATCAAGCCATTCATCCATCATTACTATTTTTTCTCTTACTTTTTTTTTAATTTTGTACCTCATCTTTCTCTAAAACATCACGGAAATTATCAATGTTTTATTTCATGATTTTTCAAAGCTTTCACTTCGATCTACAACACATATGAAAGTCATAAAAATGATAGAATGAATACCCTTACCGTCTCCCCTTAATAAAGGGGTGTGTTTAAGAGTATCACCTAATGCATGTCGGATTTCTTCTCGTAGGAAGAATTAATGTTTAAGACTAAAATCCTATAAAATGGTGACTAAAAAAGTAAAAACAAACAGAACAAATTGATATAAAGTATGGCAAGCCGTTCTCGTCAAAACTATGTTTAAACCTTTTTTTCGAAACATATTACACACTGAGAATTAAAAAAAATCACACTGAGATTTAAGAACCTAAAATAACACACTGAGAAATCGAAATTACACACTGAAATCTTAAAATTACACACTGAGATTTAAAAAAATGAAAAACACACACTGAGAATTTAAAATTACACACTGAGATTTTAAAAAGACACACTGAGATGAAATTAATTGAAAAACACACACTGACAATTGTTAATTACACAATGAGATTAATATGCAAAATACTAATGAATATTCATGAGATGAATAATTCAACAGATTAGTTTCTTAATCTCCCGAACTCTTGTCATTATAATGAAATGCGGTTCCTACAACCAACATTCGTAATAATTTTCAAGACTTAACAACTTTTTTTGCTAACTCATATTCGTAAGTTTGTTGCCTATAATTCAGATTATTACTAACAATATATCGGGATTTTTTGCTTAAAACTGTTTAAGCATGGTCCCTTTTCAAAAGTCTTTCTACTGTTACTGATTTCGCAGCATATATACGTAACAAAAATATAAAAGATTACCTTGAATAGGCACTTGGGAAAAAAATTCACTGCATTGTTTGTATTTTTGCAGATTGTTTCAATGTTTTCTTATAATTTTAATAACGTTTTTCACCATTTGGTTATATTTTGTAATGAGAGTTAGTGGGTATTTTTCTTGTTCTATTGGTCTTTAATAACGTAGTTTTTCTATACGTTGTATTTTTAATGTTTTTTATAAAACATTTAGCGCCAAATTAAACTGAGGACTAACGAGTTATGTTCCCTAGTTGTTTTAAGCTTGTAATAGATTCGGATTAAGTATGCTAATTAGATATGTGCACATGAAAAGTGCGCACAAATCTCAGTGTGTTATTTTGAATTCTCAGTATGTAATTTCAAATTCTCAGTGTGTGCTTTTCAGTTTATTTCATCTCAGTGTGTCTTTTTGAAATCTCATTGTGTAATTTTCAATTCTCAGTGTGTAATTTTCAATTCTCAGTGTGTGTTTTTAGGTTTTTTAATCTCAGAGTGTTTTTTTTTTATTCTCAGTGTGTAAGTTTTTCGAAAAAATTGTTTAAACATTGTTTTAACGAGAACGGCTTGCCATAATAAAGGACTAGTTACTATTGACATCTTTCTGTAAACTTATTTCCCTATTATCTGCTACTGGTGATTTTTGGGAAACGATTTTAATCAAAACCCTACTGTTATGACAACTATGTTTAGCTATATTCCAGGCCTCATCTCTACCTTACCTAACAAGGTGCAGTGAGGTGAAAAATCTTTAGATCTTGAACTTTTAGTTAATAACCTTCCAAAATTAATGGCGTTCAACTTTTTTTCGCATTTTTAAAGTAAACCACTAAATAAGTTGCCCATATCAAACAATATGAAGCACTAAAGTTATGACCACATCTGGAAAACGTTCTCAGCCGAGTTTTACTTTAGAGGTAGTCCCATAAGTGTGGACAACCGTAATGATTATGTTAATAATAATACCGAATCATTTACCTTTAACTTGTTTGTCATCGGCTATCAATAACAATGATTTTACGCTCACTCAGTCTGTCAGAGGCCTTCCAGTGGGGATTTAAATAATCACTTGTTTCACATTTCAATACAGATAAGATAAGATAAATTTTATTTCCAATAGAGGACCCATTATGGGCATAATCAGTACAGTGATTTTTATATTAAACAATTGCAATATAGACAATACACACACACACAAAACTCAAAAACATGAAATATGAATTGAGTTAATGATATATATAGTCATATAAACCATTATGTTTAGTGTTTATTGACCATGCACCAGAAACAGCAGTCAGTATAAACAATTGTAAACACATAGTAGTCCATCATGCATTGCAACTCATTCAGTGGATTGGTCGGTCAATTGCCCAGAAAAACAAATGCATTATTTGTAAACAAACACTGATACATGTATTGGCAGAAGCATTAGATTTAGAATGCTAAATATTGCATATCCGTATAAGGAAATCATCTACAGATCCAGTATTTCTAAAACGAAAAGGGGGTGGGGTGGGGGGAAACTAGACAACGTTAGGAGGACATGTAAAAAGTCTATGCATTAAACACGTATGAAGCTCCATACCCCCCCCCCCCCCCCCCCCCAACTTAAATCCGCCTCTGTAAATTTCTCGATCTGTTAACTGCAGCAGTTGAATAACAATCTAATTAAGAATTGTACTTACATTTTTTTAATCTATCCATGCATTAAATAATGTGTTCATGATATCTTGGTAGTAGAATAATTAACCAAAAGCCTCATACTAAACAGATGAATTGTAACACATAGGTTGTAACACTGTTACAGGGTTTTGTTTGTCTCATAAACTACAACTTATCAGGTGTTACAGTTCATCAGCTCTCCGTTTTTTATTTATAAAATCTAACCATACAACTTATGCTTTTTTTTTTAAATTAGACACAAAAGAAGAAAAACTAGTTGTAGGTCACTGAAAAACACGCGTGTTCTCGATAAAGTACATAGAAGTCCATCATGCATTGCAACCCATTCAATGGATTGGTCAATTCTCTAAGTCAATAAATAATGCTTATTATGCGATCAAACATTATATTAGCGGGAACGTTAGTATCCCAACGAATGATAGTGTACCCGTCCTGATTAAATGTATTTATGTTTCGGAGGGATACATACTTTTTTAAGCGGTCCTCAATCATTGAGGGAAAAAAGGTGAAAAAACTAATTCATATCAATTTAGAATTAGGGATGAAAAGAAATTACTGAGATTAAAAAATATTGTTTCTGTATGTTCATAAGAAACGAACTTATGCCCCCCCCCCCCCCACACACACACACATGAATCAAATTAAATTAAAATAAAACGCACTCTCAGAACAAATGAGTGGTATGAGCGTAATCATGAATTCAGGAATACGGTTCTGCAACCAAGCATGGGTTTTCATCAATTAAAGTGGTTAGTAGAAAGATTCCAGTTTCCCATTCATCAAACTATAATGTATTATTCTGAATAATCTAGTCCGACTGCTGACAGTCAGTAGAACGTTGGACCAACTACTTTAAATTCTAGCTTTCCAGAAAATAAATTTATTCAACAATTAATTATATTTAGATATGTAATTTAAATATTACTATTTCATTAAAGAAAATGCAAATTGTATTAAGCTAGGTCCAAATACATGTAGCTTTTTACTGTCCTATATTTTGCAAGTACGAAAAGACAATACGAAAATATATTTTTTCATTTTTTTTTTCTAATTGCACCACGATTCAAAGTTATCATGCATTCGTTCTAAAAATGAATACTTTAGACAAGATAAAAGTTAAAAGATACGAAGAGCCAGTACTTTTAGAAAGTGACAATTGTAAAATCGCTTATAAGTCCGAAAAAGATTATTGCTTACACAATCATTACTACTTTTGAAACTAATAAAATTTTATTTTAATGTTTTTAAGAACGTGCGGTATGATAAATAATTTGATTATCGATTGTCGGTGAAGAATGTCAAAATATTCAATGTTAATTAATACGCCTGTAGTATTTTTTACCTTTTTTCGGGCATTGAGAACCTTTGGTGACCCCGTACATTTAAATGTCCCTTGTAAAACCATCGTATTATTATAAGTAGGCGTAACAGACAAACGGTTACCTGATCAGATCCAGTCAATTGGAGAATTGAGCGCGCCTACGAATGGTCTCGTCTACACTGTTATGAATTTGATTCTATTTTGACGCCTTCAACAACTTTGGATAAGAAGATACATGAAAATCAGTTTTTTTTATTTTTGCCAATCTGTTTGTTAAGTAATATTATCTGTCCCTTTATCAGCATGAGACGACAGATTTATAGCTCTAATTAACCATTTTATAATTTCAGCAGATGAATCTGCCGCCAAAATGTTCCACATGACGAGCAAATCGGAGACACTGATAAAGTCAAATTTTATCCGTGTCCTCGCCCTAAATGTCCAATGTCAAATTTTTTCTTGGTTTGTATGTTAAGAAAAGATTTATTTGGAAGAGTGAAGCATATAGTTGGTTCTTTCTACACATAATTATGAATAAATAACTTACTCTTAGATGTAAACAGCTTCCTAAACTGTCTGATGTCATTGTTAATCTTAGCGATTTTTGTTTGATAATTGGATTTCAAATGTTCTGTTAAATCGTTATAGTCTCTATGGTCTGTTTGTGTACCAACTGATGTCTTTTTAGGGGGTTCCTGGTGATCGTTTCTACCCCCGTCAACGATTTTATCAAATCCTGGAGACACTTCCAACTCATCAAAAATCTTACTAGAAAACCTTTCTGAAGAAAAAACATTTGTTACTGCCTCAAAATACAAACTGAGTTACTCATGTAGTTCTATAATGTCTTTGTATAAATAAAAAGAGAAAGGACAAAATAGCAACCCAACAATAATAAAAAAAAATACATATAGATGGCACATTAGCAGTAGGCAATGTTATACATATTCAAGCTTTGAATCACCCGGGTCCAATAAAATTCTGAAAAGGCCTTATAATATGGGTTTTGCAGACATGAATAGCTCATTTACAGTTTAAACAACACCGTATCCAAGATGTCTGGCAAAATCATGTATTATTATAAAAAAGTTGATGTGGTATGTTTGACAATGAGACATCTTTTCATTAAGACCAGAGGACAAACATTTGAACCATAGCAGGTCACAGTGTAGTATAGTCTTCAACAATCAGCAAAACTCTGACCGTATAGTGAGATTTAAAAGAACTTGGGATGACAAAATCAGAAGGAGAAAAACAACGACCTGATTTATAACTACGAGAAAAAATTTTACGGCAGACAGCAACCAAATACAACCACTAGATTATAGGCTACTAACAAGAGATAGGCACATAAAGAAAGTGGTTAGGTTTTAGACTGTGATCGGTCAACCCTCGTCCTCATAAATTATAAAACCTCAGTTGGAATGGGCTCGACTCATCAGACGGTTAATATGCAAAAAAAAAAACAACAACAAAATACTAGTAACAAAAAAGACAATTCATTTTAGTACACAAACATTAAGATATAAACAATACATGAAATGACACTGCTACATTAACATATATGTGACATCTTTATTTTACATTCATCTGCATTTTTTTTATTAATCTTGAAGTGACCTGAGCCAGAGCAAACTGCGAGGCTGACATTTTAAAACTGTTATTTTAAGGTTATTTTACTATAGGGGAAGTCTATAAAAAGAAATAAAGATAAAGACTACCATAAAATATTGGCATAAATATAATTGGTGATTATGTACATTTATATGACCACGAAAAGTCTATCTAATACCCCATCACACTAGAACACGATCCTGCTACGACCTCAGAAATTATGAAAAATTTTGGAAGTCGTAGTAAAATCGTGGTGGTCGTGGTAAGAATGTGCCAAGGTCTTCATGATCGTGGAGGTAAACGACAAACTTGAACATGCTCAAAACATTCGTAGTGCAATTGTGGCCAAAACAAGTCGTAGAAGAAGAGTAGGAAGGTAGTAGTAAGGACGTAGTGAGATCGGGATGGGCGTAGACGCATCGTATAGGAAATCGTGGTGCAATCGGGAAGCCAATAGAAAAGATTTCGCTGCGACCTTAATACGATTTCACTGCGACTATCCCGATTTCACTACGTCTTTATTACGCTTCTACTACGATATTGATACGATTATACTACGATAAGGAAGACAATAGTACGCTGCTACTACGCGCGTGCCGTCCTAAGTACGACCTTACTACGATACTACTTCGTCCTAGCCACGATAATTGTACGACCTCATTCTGTTGATATAAAAACGTATACAATAACTTCTACATATAGTTCAACTATGGACAAGCATGCGCAAAACCTACTGCTACAATACTTAATTCAGCTGCACTGTATCGATTTGGCTGACCAGGCTACACTTTTAGTTATAAGAAGGAGGAGAAGACATATTAGACAAGAGTAGGTCCTGTTTGATTCGCTCTTGGCTTTCTGTTGAAAGACGACTCCAGTTTGGGCTTAACGACCGACTTATGAAAGAATTAGCTTATAAGGATGGAGGATCAGCAATCATTTTTTGATTTTTAAAGGATGCCTCCAGAATTGTTTAATGAACTTTTGAACAGAGTAAGTCCTCGAATTCAAAAGACAGACACCCGATTAAGAAAGGCACTAGATCCCGGTGTGAAAGTTGCTAATACCTTAAGGTACTTAGCTTCTGACGATAGGTATTCAACCCTTCAGTACGATTTCAGAGTCGCGCGCAATAGTTATACTCTAAGTACTTTTATTCCTGAGGTTTGACAACTCAAGCAATTGTACAGGAATATAAAGATGAAATCATATCTTGTCCAACAGAACCAAATGAATGGCGATCTATTGCCGAAGACTTTCAGAGAAGATGGAACGTGTCACACGCTTGTGTTGCACTATTAGAAGGCCGCCTAAAAGCGGATCCTTGTTTCATTACTATAAAGGTTTTTTAGTGCTCCTTGCATTGGTGGATGCAGACTACACATCTTATTGATAGATGTAGGAGGATATGGATCCATGTCGGACGCCCATATTTACAACGCGACAGAATGAAAGGAGTGTTTGGAAGATAAGACTATTGGATTTCCAGAGTCAGATCCCTTACCTAATGACGACCTGAACATGCCATACTTCATCTTGGGTGACGACGCACATGGTTTGAGAGATTATTTAATGAAGCCATATTCAGGAGCGTAGTGACAACGTCGTGAAACGTAGTGAAGTCATGGTTCGATCGTAGTAGACTCGTATTGAGATCGGGAAGGTCTTGGTAGAAGCGTATAGAGATCGTGTTAGTCGTGGTAAGGTCTTATTAGACGTAGCAAAAACGTGACAAGATCGTAGCTAGAACGTGTTACTATCGTAGCGGAATCGTAGCAGGATCTTATCAGGATCATAGCAAGGTTGTGGTATGTCCGTGAAAACTATGAAATATTGACTTCAAGCCGACCATACCACGATCTCACCGCGATCTTATTTTTTTTAGGTCGTAGTGAGATCTTCATGGTCTTGGTCTAGTGTGACGGGGGCTTTAGACCTAATCCTATTACAAATATATTTACAACTTCACATTCTTATTCTATTTATACTGTTGTCTACCAAATATAGTAACAAAGGGATATTTCCTGCAATGTCGATTTCACGTCACGTCAGTTTTCTTCACAATTTGGGGTTCGTTAAAGGATGAAAAATCGTTCAAGTTTTTGTTTTAACATTTGCATAACTTTTTGTAGCCGCTTTTAGCTGCAGTATAGAAACAATACTAGGTCAATGTCAGAAAAATATCAACTTTTTTGTATTCGACACGAAACAGTAAGCCTCGCCTTTCCCTAGTTTATAAGCCTCATAAAAAAAATATATATATTTTCCTGACATTGACCTAATATTGTATGTTTATAACGTTTTTTGCTGATATTTTCATATTTTTGGGGGGAAACTCGGGCGGCACATTGATAGTAAAATCAAGAAATACAAAATAAAAAATTACAAATAGCAAATAGCAAAATAAGAAAAAAGAGAATATCAGAAAGTAAACAGAAAAAGGAAATACAACCCCGATGTCAAATGGAATAGGACTAACCTTATACCGAGTTGGTTGCACTGGTTACAGATGTCCTAAATGTTTTAGTTTTTTTTATTTCCCAGACATTTTTTCTGTCTCGAGCAGACCTGACGAAAGTCAGTCAAAAAATATGTGTATTGAGCAAAAAAATCTGCATCATACGTTTATTTCAAACTAATATGTCAATAATGAAAACTGACACGGATTATTGTTTTTTTTAAAAGGGCATACGATACAGTTACAGGGGAGATAATGACGTTGATAACGTAAAATGTTATTTTTCGCGACGTCAAACTGTGACATATCGGGAAAAGATCCATTTTTCGACTGATTTTAATCTTTAGCTTGAAAACGAGTACAACCCATCTTTTTTAAAATGACATTTGGTTTGATTATGTATGAAGATTATTTGTACCCATTTTTATGAAAACATCACCCATGAATTTTTTTAAATTAGATAAATATGTACAACAAAAAATGCCGGGTTTTTTTCTAAAATCATGAAACTTTAATAAAAATGAATTATATTCAAAGAATTGTTACACAAATTCAGAGTATACTTATGTAAAGAAGATTTTCCAAATGGTTTTACAAAAACGCGCTTGTGTTTATCTTTTGAAACAAAAAAGTTGGGTATGTCTATCCAAAAGATAGAAATGTCAAAGAAACCGAAATTTTGAGAAAATGTCTAAAATTCTGACCCCATTTATCTCTAAAAGTAGCACATGAAGGTATATTTTTTATTACATATTTGAATTAACTTGGTGCAAAATAGCTTATATGCACATTTTCGTAAACAAATCACCGTGGGACCAAAACTGTATCGTATGCCCTTAACTAGCTGTCAGTAACTGCGAGTACTCTCAGATCTGAACTATGTGTCTTTTTTATTTTTTTTTGGTGAGTGATGTATAAATTCCCTCCCACGTCCGGTCTGCGTTTTTGTTAGATTTTTTCCTGCTTTGCATCGATCTGATGAGTTAAGTCCTTTTCAACTGATTTTTATAGTTTGTTCTTATGTTGTGCTGTTACACCACTGTCCCAGGTTAGAGGAGGATTGGTTCCTTCAAACATGTTTAACCCCGCCATATTCTTTATTTGCCTGTCCCAAGGTAGGATCCAGCGACTCATTTCACAACTGAAAAATCTTACGAGTAAAAACACCCGTAAGTCATGAACATTTCAGTATAACTTACGATCAATTTTAGTCGTAAAATTTTTTGTGAAAAGAGCCCATGTAGTTTAGTCGTTGTCGTTGGTTCATGTGTCATACTTGTTTTTCGTATATTGTTTTGTTATAAATTAGGCCGTTAGTTTTCTCAATTGAATTGTTTGGTATTTTTCATGTCGGGGCCTTTTAGGGCCGACTATACGGTATGGGGTTTTATCATTGTTGCCTATAACTGCTTACATCCACTTCATTTGAACTTTGATGCATAGTCGTCTCATTGGCAATCATACCATATCTCCTTATTTTTTATCGGAAGATGACATCGGAATTATTTACCTTTAACTTTCCGTGCCACTGCAATGACTGTATATACGAGTAAAAGGGATTCTAGTAAATACCACTGAAAAAAAGAAACAAACATCATTCAATGGGATCCAGTTGAATTCGTGAATAATTTGCTGGAATGAATATTCGCATGAAATTCATTGGTCGTGGTGTAACAAGTAATAAAAGTTTTACAGACCTGTCGGATTTTTCATTTCACAATTTATGTTTGAGGTAATTTTTAATCATTTTCTTATGATAGATAATGCAGCATGATTTCCTCAAATACAATATTTTTAAAACAGTAGTAAGAGAGGAGTAATGAAATTTGCCATAGATTTTGGGCCTAATTGACCCTAATACCCTACGACCTTTTTGTTTAAGTAAAGTTATTATAAATTATTGTGGTGATACCTTTTATCATCATCAGTTTTAGATGAACTTTCGGCCTTCTTTTACTTTAGGGGTTCCTATACTTTATGGTTAGGGTTTATTTATGATAATGGTTCTTCTTAGCTATCTATTGTACCTACATAAACAGAGCTGTTTTGTACTTCTCCTATTTCTCGAGAGAAATCTCTACCAAGACAAACTGCTGCAATGAATATACTCCCAGAGACTGACCAGTGTTCCCACCATTGTGTAGCCTCTATATTTGCTTTTCCTGAAAAAAATTTGAATGAACTCGTCTTTGTATCATTCTATCTACCAATATGTGGTACCCATGCAAAGAGTTGACAGGTATATATAAATATGGTCATCCCTTGGTCTTCTCTTGCCAGGATGTAAACACCTTACCAAAATGTTGTCGAACGTTTGGCTGCGCTTGATGTATAAATTCGCAGTCAGATTGTGTTATGCATGTAATGGTAAGTTATCCACTTTAAATTGTAAATTATGTCTCGGGCCAAACGATTTATTATTATGATTTTTATTTGACAACTTCAAAGATTTTTTTTCTAAATCACCAGTAAAGATATTGCATAAACAAAGAGGTGCAGCATAGCTTAAACATTAAAACTCCATTGTTTTTTTTCTTTCTATTCTATGATTAACGATGTCATTCCAAAGTTTAGTGAAGACTCGGTCAACTAGATCTGTGGAACAAATTATAAATGATTAAATAATAATGAGTTTTAAATTATCTTATGCAAACATATTTAAAATAAATAAACACACATACAATGTTAGGAAGCAGTCGGAACTATCGTATACAAAGAAAACAATCCATTGTTTTTTTCATAATTGAAATAAAAAGGCAAATATGGAGACATCATACAAGGACTGTTCGTATGTGTCTACGAGACTTTATCAGAAAATTCAAAAATGGATACCGTGGATGAACAACTCCAGCAGTGGCCACGAAGACAGTATGTTGTAATACCCTTACATTCTTTTTAAAACAAAATACATATTTTTGTAATACACTTACCTGTTATGATCATGATTGTTACAAATGACGTCTAAATCGGAAGCAGTAGATAATGCCGCCAATCTGTGTATGCAAAAATTACACCATTTTTCGCTTTCGAGTTCTCGGTAGTCACAAAAGGAGTAGATCATGAAAATGTCATTTATTGGTTTCGATTTAAAGTTTTCTGGCAAAAAGTGGGTCACACTGTAAATATACGTTTATATTGTCTACAAAAGATAGGGGAAGAAATGTATTCATATATAATCTTTCTCAGAATTAATAACAGGATCGAAAAAAACAAAGAGCACTTAGTCTAGTCGTACATACATAAATGGAGATGTGGTAATATATTTTTGCTAGTGAGAAAACTATCCACCAAAGACCAAGGATGTAAACAATAATAATAATTGAATTTCAACATGCTGATATTTAGATGTTGCTATATTGTGTTTAAGTTCGTTTAGACATTTATTATTACTTTTTTTTTATTCTTTAGTGCATTCCTTTTTTTGTGAGCGTGGGGAGCGAACATGGAGACAAAATCCACTTTTTTGGAAAACAACCGGAAATAATGTATACATCTATACAGATGATAATGCAAACTACGTATTTCAGATATTGGTGACTTAATCCTTTTTCTTTCGCAGTGTCCAATTTTGTATTTTGTTTTGAAATTATCATATTATTCAATGAATACAGTTTTTTTCGTAAATATATCTGAGAAAAAATTTTAAAAGTTCGTTTATTTCAAGAAAGAGCAAAATATTATCAGTTTGTCTTATTTTTCTAATTTTATAACCATTAATACCATCTTATAAAACAAGCAACAAATTCAAGATGACGACACATTTTTGGGAAAAAATAAAAGTATTGACTTTGGTAAAATTCCATAGCTGCATATGATCGACATCTGCATAGATTATTGATGTATCTTGACTTTTACTACATATCCAAATGTAGTCCAGCTTTAAATATCAAATCGAAGACATTTTGCTTTAGTATAACAAATGTCACATTTAATGCGTTTTAAAGATTAAAATTTATTTGTTAGTCGTCTGAACTTTGACCAAACGTATAAAACTTTCCTTACTCGCAAATTTTACGTAACTTTTACGAATAAGTTCCCATTTTTTATGTGGACTTTTGCCAAAAAGATATAGGGCCAATTTTATCTGCATTTGTTTCACTATGAAAAGGGTCGAAATGTAAAAGTTACCAAACCGTACTAGAACATTTTAAAAGAGACTGTGTATTATACATTAAAAAATTACTCAACTATTTCACATATTCCATAGAAATCAAATGTTAAAACGCTACCGTTGAGGGCATTTTGCAACAAAATGATTAAAATGTATCAACATGTTTTTGTAAAAGTTTGTCTTGAAGGACGTCTCCAACCGATATGAATTGAATTGTAGGTCTATTTGAAAGACAATATAGTCTACACACTTTCTAATTTTGCCAATGGAAATTTAAAAACGCTTGTTTCAGCGATAAACTCGGCACTGCACGTTTAAATAATTTATTCGTGTTTCGTAACAAATAATATGCCACATTGTCGTAAAAATACAAAGAAAATCTATTAAGAAATCAAGTAGACCTATTTGTAGAACTTACCAGACTAGACGGTGAAAATTTGAAGGACTGAACAAAAACATAACTGTAAATACTGACCAATTTTATTGAAAACCTGACAGATTTGATTCTGCAGTTCCTCGATCCATATCTTAACCAGTAGACACCTTTCTTAGCACACTAGGAGAAAATACAATGACTAGATAGCACAAGAGATTAGACCCGTACCATTGAGACTATTGCAGCCAACAAAGACTATATGCTGACATTGCAGCCAACAAATTACACAAATTTACATAATGTGTAATGTTATGCATACATTATTTCGTTGACGTATAGTATAATATGACATTGAGTACTGTAAGATCTATTACAATCTTTACGACTACTATATACTGGTCTATTAGTTTATCAAAATCTTTAAAAAAAAAAAGCTAAAACAAACGCCAAAATATAGCATAACTTATTGCATGTTCTTTTATGACGTCGACATTCATTGTGTTTCAAGTGACGTCATACAAAGTTTCAAAAATGGCTGAAACTGAGCAAAATGGAAGCATAAACTACACAAATATTGTGGCGACTAATATAGCACTAGAAATGATAAATGATAGACATATCGAAAGTAATAAAACTTTAGATTTAGCTCATGTAACCGTAAAAGAAAAGCTAACAGATTCGGAAGGTTGCAATGACGAAAGAATACCCCAAACTGAAAGTAGCGATGACCAATCGATGCAAGCAACAGGTAGTACAAACCCAAGCCAAAACCAAAGTGACACAAGTTGTACAAGTAACGAAAGTGCAGGATATTTCACGGAAAATTCAGAAAATTCTCTACAATTTGTTGATTTTCAACAACAATCTAATGGCGTTACAGCAATACCGTATCCTGTACAGCAACATCACCAACAAACAATGTCTTATTACATGTACAATGGGCAACTTTACAATGCAATAACACTTTATCCTTATGCACAACCAGCAACCATGTATCCGGCATATGATGGACAAAAAATGATTTATTACCCGATGCAACCAATTTATGCACCTGCCTGTAACGAATATGACCAAACAACGCTCCAGAGTTGCTGCGAGAACACTGTGTTGACATCAGGATATGATGAAGAAAGAAATGAAGGTACACATAATTCTACAGACACTGCTTCGGAAATCGAAATAAAAAGTGAAACCGACGTTGATTCAATAGAAATAGACAGTGGCAACAATGGCGATGGTTCAAATCTGATAACAAAAACAGATAGCCAACAACAATCAAATAATCAACAGCAAAACGATTATCAACAAGTTGAACGAAATACGTTTGATTCAGAAATGACCAACTCTTTCAGTTCTAGTTTGTATTACAACCAACATCAAGATTATGCCTACAGTAATGGAAATACTATCGCTGATCCCCATCAACCGTACGTTTATTCAAATTATCAACAAACTGAAGCTAATATTATACAACCAAACATTCAGTATCCCAATGCAGTTTTAAATCAAGTACAAGACGACTATGGACCAAACTTACATTCTCAAGCTTCAGAGAAAAAGAAGTTTCAGTACCCTGCTATTTATGTTTCAACAACAGGACTTATTACCGTGCTCATGAAGCATGATATATCAGTTGAGACCACTGTCGACCAAACTTTGCGACTGGTCAGTCACCAACAGAAACTAGTTGTTTCGATAAACAATCGTGGAAATGCAAGTTATTTGTTCCACCCAGCAGCACACATTATGCAAGATCTTACGACGACAGAGGCCGAAATATTTCTCGGTAGGAAAGTTAAAATGGCAACCGATTACATAACATTTGCAAATAACTTTAGCTGTTACAAGTTTGATTATGATGAAATTGATAAAACGACCCCTCAGTTTTCAGATTTGTCAAAAGATAGGTCTGTGAATTTTCTCTTTGCAGACAATCAGTCGAATCCAGAAATTTTACAACAATGTTCAGATATCATATCAAGGGCAGAATACGAACGTAACCAGAGAGGTGGAATCTGTATTCGAATAAACGGCTATAAAATTGTTCAAACTGTAAAAGGTGACGTGATAGTATCCGGAAAAGGTAAATACCTCCGCATGTCTCCTATCACTTCTGTGTTGCGTTTAGATACGAATTTTGTTACAATGGACGTTGAAATGAACTGGAATGTCAGGATAAAGAGAGGTGCTCATACACTCAATGCTAGTCATCTAGGGTTAGTCGTTTCAAACGGTAAAGTCGAAGCTGCCTTTGACGAACGGAATAAAGTCCACGCGTGTAAACTGCCAAGTCGTCGACCTTTATTGATAGGAGGAACCAACAATCGTAGAAGTAGAGAACTTTCACCAGTCGATTGAATTTTACCAAGATATGCAAAATATAACAATTGAGAACTGTTGATCAGTATCTGTGATATTTTTTTTTTATCAAATAATATAATAAAACTAATTCTCTGCAATCGAGCTGAACCCATTTTTTTTTTTACATAAGAGGTATTCCCGTAACAGTGTGGACAACCGTAGTACGTTTGTTGTTAATATTACTGAATCATTTACCTTTAACTTGTTTGTCGTCGGCTATCGATTACAATGATTTTACGCTCACGCAGACTGACAAAGGCTCTCCAGTGGGGATTTAGATAAACACTTGTTACACATTTCGATACATAAAACGAAATTGTTGATCAAAACATAAAAAAAAACGCAAGTAAAGAAAGTTTAAGTATTCAATATTAATCAAAACATAATGGTTATTCCTGTACTAGTTTTTCGAATTATTTGAATCAGGCGTTGAGAACCTTTGGTGACCCCACATTTTAAATGTCTATAATAAATAGGACGTGATAAGTGGGCGTTACAGACGAACGTTCACCTAATTTAACCCAGTCAATGGGAGACTTGAGCGCGCCAAAAAATGGTCTCGTCCACACTGTTATGAAAACAGATTTCTTTACCCCGATGTAAAGCTGATTTTGTTAATCGTTAGTATACTCTACACAGGGATATACTGGTAGCCGCAATCGCATATAGAAGAGACCATGTCGGTCATGAAACTGTACTCATTACTCGGATTACAAAATGTGTACTGGGAACACCAAATCCAGTGTTTGAATTGTTTGGATTGTTTGAATTTGGAGTCTGGGTACGATAATCTTACTCTAAATTTTGATGATCGTAAGGCCGGCCTTGTCATTGAAATTTTGAGTACAATTATCGTTTTCAGATTCATAAATCAACCAATAAATAGCTAAATTCAATGTTTCAAGCACAAATGTTGTACTGAGAGTACTGAGTAAAGTTTAATGATTGAATCTGATCTTTTAGAAACAACGAGCTACATTTTTATTTTTATCAATGTAGGTCCGACTACTCAGTATTTGTATAATTAGAACGTATCGGAAGAATATTTTTGCGAGGCTTGGGAAAATCTATATAAAAATGTATTGGAAAATATTTATATACTCACCCTAGATATATTGATCGGGATTTTTGGGATCATAGGGATTTGTTTTACAATTAAGTATTTTGAAGTCTTGAATTCACAACTAACGGAATTGATAGCCTCACAGGATTTGAATGATTTATGTTGCTAAAAGTTACGTTGGGTATGTCAATGAGACAACAGCACAACGACAAATACAAACAACCGTAAGAAATATAATGTTAACTTTTACAAAGAAGTATGATTTTTTCCCATGTATTTTATTCACCCAAAGAGTCAAAATAAATACAAATGGAAGACATTTCGACAACAAACCTCAAAATAAAATGTTGTTCAAGCTTAGCAAGAACATTTGACTTGCTTTCATTCGTTGGAAGACCTCCAGAAAAAAATAACTTTCTAAGTAACTAATGAAAACTTTACTTCCGAAAAAAAATATCAATATATATCATGAAAGAATGGTTTGTCTTCGGCAATACATTTCCAGGTTTTAAGAAAAATAAAATATGAAACAATTCAATTGAGAAAATTAACGGCCTAATTTATAACAAAACAATTTACGAAAAAAACAAATATGACAGACATGAACCAACGACAACCACTGAACTACAGGCTATTGTAGTTAATTATACTTCCCATTTATTACTTTATTAACAAACAAAAAATAACCATTATACATAACCAAATGTGGAAGTTTGAAATGAAACTACAAATAGCCTTATACAATACGTATATAGGATATATACTGTATAAAAAATGTAGAAGGTGTCGTATGATTGCCAATAAGACAACTAGCAATCAAGAGGTCAAATGGAAAAGTCTCTAAACAACTACATGTCATCGTGTAGCCTGCAATAACGTACAAACCCCATACTGTATAGTAAGCTTTGTTGTTGAACGCCGTACAGTTGCCTATAATTGCTAACATCCACTTCATTTGAACTTGGCGGATAGTTGTCTCATTGGCAATCATACCACATCTTTATTTTTATATTTGAAAGATACAGGGCTTATTGAATGTAAATGACCAGTACCGTAGGAAACAAATCAGTCATTTAAAATGAAATGTCTCAAAAACAACACGGAAATCTAAAACAAAAGCACCAGAATCGGGATGACCACATTAGTTCCGGACGGGCATGCACTTCCAGTTCTATTTGTGGCACTCGTCGTGTTGCTCCTGATACTGGTAGGTACATTGAACAACGTAATAAATAAATTTTATTTGTTTAATTTATAATTTTGATTCTTTGTGTTGGGAAAAGGGCCATGTTATAACTCGGTTCTCGGGAAAAAAAATAGAATCAGTTGCTGCCATTGCATATAGCTGCACACAAAATTCCGTAGGTGGCATTTGTATAACTCGTGGGATGCTCCTATGGCTTTCATTGCATACATTTGGCTACACCACATTCCGTAGGTGGCATTTGTCTGACTCATGGGATGCTCCTATGGCTTTCATTGCATACATTTAGCTGCACCAAATTCCGTGAGTAGCATTTGTCTGACTCACGAGCTGCTCCTATGGCTTTCATTGAATACATTAAGCAACACCAAATTCCATAGGTGGCATTTGTATGAATCATGAGCTGCTCCTATGGCTTTCATTGCAAACATTTAGTTATACCAAATTCCGTAGGTGGCATTTGTATGAATTGTGAGTTGCTCATATGGCTTCCATTACATCATACATATAGATATAACAAATGTCGTAGGTGACATCTGCATGACTCGTGCGCTGCTCTTATAGGTTGCCAAAATGGCTCTTTCTAACGTTGGTTGCACTAATTAGGACAGGAAGCTCATTCATAGCCTGGATAGTCCATTGGACATTTATTTGTTTCTTTTATTTGTGTATAACATACTTGTGTCTCTGGTTTGACAATTTGGCTCTGGTGGTACATGTGAAGCCAGATATTGTACTCATCAGAACACACTAAACAGAAAGAAAAACATCTCCTCAGTACAATAAACCGTATCAACCCGAGACACCAATATAATCACAAGAGCTCTGCTCGAAGGAGTATACTGGTTGAAGGTTGATGCAGTGAGTGATATTGAAAAAGCCATATTAGATACACTTCATTGCATTTATATACATGTACCCTTGTGGAACTGCCAATCAAAAATAACTTAATCAAGAAAAGAACATGTATTGCTGTTCATATAAGATCTGTTCAAAGTCAGTTCCCATGGGTAAATTTCAGTAGTATTGTAAGAGAATTTTTGATTATTTAAAGTAAATATCACAAGAAAAACGGTAAGTGTCACTAAATTTTTCTGTGAAATGGAATTAAGAGGGATCATTATTGAGTTTGGCCATAGACTGATTTATAAATATACATGTGCAGATACAACCCTACTATTAAAGGAGCACAATTGGTGGCTATATCAATACCTCCAACCTTCCTATAACTTTATTGTCGAAACGTACATATGTTGTGAATGAAAATTGAACAGATTTAAACATCTCTTCACAGTTTCAATAAGTAAACAATGCATTTTGCATATTTTTTTTTATTACCAACGAATGATTTTCACGGGCCTACGGAAACTGCCGTTTGCAATCAGATTTTTCAAAGGGTCGTTTTATAAATAAGAAAACTTCTGTTGATCAGATCACGTGGAAGTGTATAGCAGAGAGTCATAAATACAAATCTCTAAACGGAAATTAATGAATGAATTTTTATATTCAACACTTTCACGGCTGTCATTCGGTATATCGAGAGAAATGATCGTGAAAGAATACCTAACGGTGGTCAAGCATTGCGATCGGATCGTGAAAGATCTGGTATAGGATCGTGAATGTAATTAATTGTTATTCTACTTCAGATAGTACAGTAAAATAAAAGTATTGTTTTCCTAGAAACCGTTCATTTGGTTTCTGAAAACATTGAATTTTGCTGAATTTTCATAAAAATGGTCGTGAAAGATCAGGCAACGCATTATCTTGATCGTGAAAGACAAGGCGTGATCAGTTTTAATAGTCAGAAAAGAAAATTCTTTTACCAATTGATATACTTGCAACTAGTTGAAGCGTGTAATTATTTAAATAAGAACGAACATTTATGCTTTCATTTTTTTTCTCACTTTTTCAATTAAACACTTTTCCTTAAAACTTATCAACATAACTAAAAAAGTGTCTAGATAAGTAGATTTATAAGATGAAAGCGTAAATTGTCGTAAAGTAAACGTATATACGTATCTGTAATGCTTAATGCATCCGCACTGGAAATATATGCATGTGTACGCATTTTTTGTTGTTGTGTAGGTTGCACTTCTATAAATATAGACAATGCAATTTCCCATAGAAACTCCCTTTATGGCTAAATCTGTGCCACTTGTGCTATGAAGTTTCGTAAAAAATTATATTCTAGAATGGAAAGATTATATGCACTAATATTTTCTTCAAAGATCAAAACATATGGCTGTGCGGCATATTTTCAACAATTTTATGTCTCGAACTTGAAGGAGTTAAAACTGATAATAATATTCTATACTTCCCCTCCCTTCACTTTGAGTTTTCCTCAGAATTCAATTTCGGCGCTATCGATGTGTATTTTTTACTGGGAACATTCTCAAGTTGTGTCTCTACGAGATTAAGCATAAAGATCATATCTGGGAACCAGTAGGTAAAAATACAAAAATATCGATGAATATTAAATTTCTCCCCAAGAGAGGCGTGGTTTATGAAACAGCTGTATTTACAAAGTTCAGCCTGTAAGGTTTGTCACTTTCAGTTATATGGAGTGTCGTTCGTGCGTACATAGTATGACAGTATTGGCTAATATATTGTTTATTTCGTGGCTGTGCTGACATAAACTAAAAAGGTACCAAAATAACGTTATTTTCACTTTATTGTTTGATCAATCTGTTCACAATAGCTATACGTCATTGTACCCAACTTAGTGGGGAAATTACCAATCAACGTACCTCGATTATGTATAATACCTAGTTTGAACTGTAATTTAGCCGATTAAGTTCTATTCTCAATCTTAAATTTGTATAAGA